CATTTTTTTAAATATTTATATTTATATGTGATAAAAATGACTTTATACAAAGCAGTATTTGAGTGATGTGCAACTTGTATATAATCAATTTGAAAAAACGCGAAAAAAGAATAGCAACTCAAATAAAACATTTATCGTGAATAAATGTTTAAAATGATCTAATGTGTAACATTTTTTACAAATTTGTAAGAACGATTATAAATTAATATGAAATAAATAATGCTTGTGTATGTGTGCAAGAAAAATTTATCACGAAATTGCAGTATTATCGCTTTTGTTTGTCCATAAAATGTATTATATAAATAAGAATCTCTGGGAAAACTTGTTCTGATGTTCAAAATATGATATTGTAAAAGTTACTTCACAGCGATGGTGGATGCTGGATCCCAACCTGGATGAAAGAGGTCGACAGACAATGGGATGCAGTGTGATGATGATTGATCTTTCATATACATAGTTGCCTAGAAACATGAAATAATAAGAAACGTGAAAAGCGATTTTCTTGTTTTTGACTTCAAATCGACATATCTTTATATCTAATACATACCAGGAAGAGAACTAACTGCAATTTTGTCTTAGCATCACATTCCTTTCCCAAAGTAGATGGATAACTTATCACCCCATCGTTACTTTGTATATCAGCCGCTATCAATTGTAAGCAATGTTTCTCATTTACTCTGAATGATTCTAATATCGATGCTGTGATAAATCAATTTGATATTAATATACTTTCTTTTATATTATTCTTTCATTTAGAATTTTTAAAACAATATTAATTAGTCTTATTATTTAGTTTCTTACTTCTCTCGGATGTTTCAGCAGATAAGAACCTCGATAAAATTGCTCCAGACTCAAAGGTTTCAGATAAAAATAGATACGGATAACGTCTGAGAAGTAATTTTGTTAGCAACATATTGCCACGATTTCCAGCTAAATTATTTTGAGGTATACAGATGATTTCATCATCTGTTCTTCTTATTAATAATATGGTTCCATTGTATCTGTTGAATTAAAAAATAATGAGATGTATATGCGATACTTTAATTACATTATATGATAACACGCTACAAAAAAATATACCTGTTTAATTGTTCCGCTATATGTAGATTGAAATAATCTCTGATTATATTGTGGACTAAACCTTCTAGGGACGGCGGCATTGCTTTAATAGCTAATGGAAGTACATCATCAAATGTAGCATCTAAAACCTGCGGCGATTAATATGTCAATTTACGGAATCGATTTGATATATATGATTAATTGAGACTGGACAATATTACCAAGCTTTGAATTGAAGGATAATTCATAGCGGCCCAAGTGGCAGTATATCCTCCAATACTCCATCCGTATATGATAATTTGTTTTTCGGGAAACTTTAGACGTTCGATCGCAAAGCGCATAATACAATCAATTGCGTTTTCTTCTTGATCTGGATATGGCGCACCCTTTGCGGTCATGACTTACTGTTATACGAGATATATGTCGGCCAGCCCGAAAAAGAAGGCTTGCTATTACTCCAATATTGAATTTACTGTTTGAATGACAATAACTGCAACATGGGCAAAATTTTATTGTTGCAAGAAAGATTCTTATGACGGAGTAACAGCAATTCTTCTTGTCGGATTGTGAACATCCGTGAAGTTTATTTATAAGTATAATACTTACAGTACTACTGGCAAAACCTGGATGATTCCAACCTAGTACCGAATAGCCCTTAGTTAAGGGAGTGGATATAATGCCTGTTTCATAAAATCCACAATTTCCTTCACAAGTTATGACCAGTGTATCACCATTACTGCTTCTGCAAAATGACGTACGTCAAAAAGAGTTTGCAGCATAACAAAGGGTGTCGATAAAGTTATTGTTTACATTACTTGGTGCGTCGATCGACGAACATTACATCAAGATGATTTTTATCCGAAGTCATCAATTTGAATCTTTCTCCGCCTTGTTTTATTAGATCAGACCTCCCTTTCACTAATGCAGAACCTTTAATATTGTGATAGGAAATAATCTTAAATTATAATCTTAAATTATAATCATAAAAGCTTATGGAAATATAAAAGTAACAATGTATTACCGAATGCCCAGCCGATGAGAGATATACTGCCAGGATAAATCAGTTTATTCGCAAAAGTATGTGCTACAACGTAAGAAAGTAATTTACATGGAATAGCAAATATAAATTCTTTGCCGCTTTGCCGTTTGAGACGCCCACTGGCTTTTGCAATTTTTTCTAATGTCAATTTATCTGCAATGTCACTACAACGAACATATAATTAGAAAAGAGTAATATTAATTGCAAAGTATAAGTTGTTTTAAAATCCTAATTTCATACTAATCAATAATCAAAATGTACCAGTATATTATTTTTGTACTCTCTTGATGAAATTAAATAAAATGGTAAAACTTTTTAAGTATATTTTTTATAATATATCAAGATCTAAATGAGAAATAGCAAATACTAGAGTTGTAAAAAGTTACAATTTGAAAATTTTTTTATTAATTTTTTTTTAAACATTTTAAATTTGTTAAGGAGAATTTGTCAGAGAATTTTAAAATGAAAGTTGAGGATTCTAGAACATCTTGAATAATTATTGTTGATAGAAATATATGTGTCTAACCCTGTCACATTGAAGTCTACAGGCCATGCCCAGAATTCAAAATCATATTTGTGAAGTTCTTGCTTTGTACTTGCATTATAATTCAAGTGAGCTTCGTTCAGAGTGTCCACAAACTTTACATACGCTGGATTATTGATTCTGGAATAACCACGTGCAGCCAACGAGGCAATGAGAAGTGCACCAGCTCCAGCTGCCACTTTACTCAAGCAAGAAACGTTATCTATCAAAGAATAGCTACGCTGGTACATGGCGAACATAGCGATAACTGGTACAGCATAAAGGCTTATAGACCATATTGCTGCAAACTGCAATAACACAAAAGCAATTTGTGAATTCATCTTTGTAATCATGATAATACAAAAAGTGTAATCTAATCGATGAGAATATAGCAAAAAATCACTGGCATTCGGTATCTTTTTACTATCATGACAGTATACTACGAGTGCAATCTTTGATGATGTTACACTTCTAATTTATATGATACATGGAACATAAACTTACGGAAATGACGATTTGATCACCCCATCGCTCTAGGTTCTTCGCTTCATACGATTTCTGTAAACGCATTGTAACCTCAACTTTATGTAAATTTCAACGGAGTGCTGAATAAATATACATCGTACTTACGTCAACCAGACCGATCCACGTTACCTCGTAAATCTTAAAAAGCCGCGGGCTAAATGTGCATCTCCACAGTGTCCGGATCAACGACATCTCGCCTTTGCGTGCGGTCAGCTGGACAACCGTATATAAACGTGTTACTGCGGACGTCGCGATGCGGATCGGGAGTCCTTGGGCTTGCGGAGCATCGAGCCGAAAGCATCTCCTCGCCACGTCCGTCGAACAAGCGCGCCAACTAGATGGACGACAAACGAATCGTCGAAAGTGCAACTTTTCTTGCGCCGAATTATAATTCAACCAAACTTCGATTGACTTATCAAATCTGTAATATCTTTACTATGCTCTCTCAAAATATTCTTAATAATTACAATAATAATTATATATTATTATTCTTTATCATTTCATATTTTTTTCACGATCAGAATCATTTTTTTATTATTTAACAAAATGAAAAAAGAAATTAAATCAGAGATAATGAATTGTATGACTTAAAATTTTACTTCAAATGACATGCTTGAATAAATTTTCGATTAATCGGCGATTAACTTTTTGATACAAAATTTTGTACAAAATTTGTAGAACTAAAAATAGATGAAAAATAAATTAAATCGAGATTAAAATTAAATTATATCGGAATATAGGAATGAATATAATAGAATAATTAAGTTTGAAATTACTAGGTTTTTCGAATATGATCGATATCGGTCCATCTGCGTAGAGAAAATACGCTCGTTTCGTCAGAATCGAATGGCATCTCGTTTGTTGCGCGTCGAGAACCTTTCGTAAATTCGTAAACGGCGACTTTTCAAAATTTATCGTAATTTTTTTTCGCCACCCGCAAAATCAAGTTCCACATTTATACGTAACAGAAGCGCGACGATCGACGCGAGGCGAGAGAACTTTCTTGTGCATGCGGCGTCGAAAATCAGGCCAAAAAGTTTGTTTCTTCCCGTCGTGACCGGTACGTGGTCTCTTTCGATTCTGCGTACGACGCAGAAGAATCCCGTGAACGTGATTTCCCCGATTGGAGGGAGAGAGAAAAAAGAGATCACGAAGCACGCGTACGGACGGAGGTCCACGTTCACGAACGTTTCCTGAGGCGACGACCCTCGATGTTCGCGGAATCGTGGCTTCGCGCCGGTCGATCGAGCGGCCGCGCCGCATGATTTTCGGAACGTCCGCGAGGCGGAGAGCGAGAAGAACTTGCTGGAAAGAGCAATACAGCGGGAGTAGAGCGGCTGCTATCGTGACCACGTTCCCAAGTGGAAACGTCCGCGCGATACATCGTCGATACTGCGACAACCAACGGTCCCGGTAGTGAGACTTTCACCTTTTCTCTTTCTCCCTTTTTTTTTACGACATGTCAGATTGGGACACCGCGCCTATCACCCTTCGCAAACGCGCCCCGAAGTCGTCCACGCTGAAAACTGAGAAGGTAACCAGCCGCGATCTGTCGTACGTGGCCCCGTCGCGGCTGGCCGCCGCACGATCGAAAACGCATCGCGATTGTGTAACCATGCACGTTTGTTTACAGGCGGTAAACGACGCTCGGCGACAAGGCTTTACCGTAGAGACACAGGCGAAATGTGAGTACCACGAATATCTTATCTTTTCGCTCCCCGAATATTTCTTCGCGTTTGCGACATAAACAAAACAGCGCTCACCGCGAATGATTTTATGCACTTATCTGCGATAACAATATTTTCAAGTTGTATCACGATCTCTGTAAGACCAAACCGCGAATTAGAGAAATTATAATCATCATGTTTGCATCTTTCCCGAGAATGACAATGTGTCTAAATATCTCTCAGGATAGTTATGCAGTTGAAAAAGTACATGTAATCAGTCTTATTATTGTGTCATCATATTGTATCACAGATAAAAAGTTCAAGGTTGTTTGAAAATACTTTACGTGCTAATGTATGGAGTAAATGTATTTAAGTGCAGAGGCTGTTTATTTCTAGAAATATCTAAGACAATATTCTATTAATATACTATAAATAATAGGAAGAGAGGACGTTATAGATTTTGTATTAAATAAGATTTTAAATGTCCTTAGTTTCCATATTTTGATATTGATTTGGTAACCTATAGATGTTTAATCATATCTTTTGTTATAAGCTTATCTATCTTTTTTTGATATTTTATCAAGAGTGCAATGTAATTCTGAAATAGAAAAAATTTTTTAATTAGGGGGTGGTGGTGCGAACAGACAGCATGTAACCACAAAGAATACAGCCAAATTGGATCGTGAAACAGAAGAATTGAAGCACGATCAAATCCCACTTGAACTTGGCAAGCTTATCCAACAAGGACGACAGAGCAAAGGATTATCTCAAAAAGATCTGGCTACGGTAAAATATTTGCAGTTGCAGGAATTACCTGTTAGAGAATTTAAAGGAAAATCACTTTTGAATACTTTTGTTAACGATCTCTATATATTTTTTGTAGAAAGTAAACGAGAAGGCACAGGTCATCAATGACTATGAAGCAGGACGTGGAATACCAAACCAAATGGTAATCGGTAAGATCGAACGAGTACTTGGAATCAAATTGCGCGGTAAAGATCGTGGCAAACCGTTAGCGGTAGCCCCCGGGACGAAGAAGTGAATCTCGGGGGGAAGCAATGTCTATCTTTCGATCCTTATATACTGTTCCTGTGGAAGAACAATGAGAAAGACGGTAGAACGGAACGCAACAAAAAAAAAAAGAATACAAACCTACCCTCTTTTCCTTTGGTTATACGGATATTACGAACGATAAAACAATGGGTTATAATTAACTTGCCTTTATGTATGAAATAAAAGATATTTTAGAATATTACGAGTACGTACGGAGTAACGATTACATATGATACATACAATAACATAGTGTAATGTTAAACAAGGCTTATTGAGTTACCTTCGCGCGTAATCGTTTGTTATAGATTTTAAGTGTACATTACTAATGCTAATCATGAAATAAAAGCGAAACGTATGTTTGAGTGACAAAAAATAAAATTCTTAATTTATGATAAAAATCTTTAGGTATTTGTCTTCATTGAGCACAGAAATTCTAAATATATAAAATAAGTATGGATAAAATATTCACATATATAAAAATAAACAATATGTACAAACATAAAAAGAAAATCTTAAGTATCACGTATATGCATTTTTGTATTTTTTATCTTTCATCTATATCATTTGTACATTATTTTTTTTCAGACATTTTAGTAAAAAAATCAAGTTTTTTTATTTCATAGCGCGAGAAATTTCCTGAAGAATATTTTTTTAAGAAAGAAAAAGAATTTTAGTGACACTTGAAATATTCAAATAATTTTATTTGTATAGAGATAATATAAATGCTGATTTTGTTTTCCATTAATCCTTCCTCAAAGCAAAACTGGAGTCTTTTATTCCATCCTTAGTAATAATTTTGATAGTTATTCCATCACCTGTATATATATCTCTTTCAGCTGCAGAAGTAAAAACATCTTTCAGAATTGCTACAGCCTTTTCTTGAGTTAAGGGTGTAGCAGTGACACCTTCTTGGTTCTTATACCCAATCTAAAAAATAAAAATGTTATGGGATATCAATTACGATCTCTTTCTTAAGCATTTTATATATACACACACACACACACACACACACACACACACACACACATATATATATATATATTAGATTATATATATAATCAAATGTTTTTATATTTATACCTGATTATCAAGAAGTGGTTGTAAAAGAGCACCAGCTGAACCACCTGCTCTGTATGTAGTTTTTTCGCAATGTCCAATTGGATCATAACTATATATACAGCCCTTTCCATTTTCATCCAATCCAGCAAGTATATTGCTAATATAATATGGAAAGAATCTTTTATGATATAGCATTATTGACAACATCTGTGCTGTTGCTGGAGTTGACATTTCTTTTTGATGTTCATGTTTATACATCTAAAGACATATTATATATCTGACAATGTCATGTGTGATCGTGTGATATTACAATGATTGTGTGTAACAATGATTGCTCAATATTTTGATCTCAATTAATTATAAGATTCCAACATTATACCTGCATACGAGCGGACAAGAGACGAGTCAGAGTCAAGGTGTCGCACCAGCAACCGGAGCATCCTAAGATAGTAGTTTTCGACAGGGGGAACAATTTATCTTGGTCTCGAGTGTAGATCGAGAATCCTGTGCTAAGACGCGTATCTGCGCCTATGACGCAAAAATCATCCCCTGCGAGAGCTACCACACTCCTGAAAAAAAGAAATCGTCTAATCGTACAAGCATAAAGTACTTTACATTAAGAAACATTGCAAAATAAAACTCAAGAATAACAATAAACCAGCAGAAATAGAGTTGTATAATTTCAGACTTATTTAAAATTACATAGAGATTTAGGTTATTTCCATTTACCCTCCATTGTCGGAATACGGACTGAAACTGACTTGTTTTGCTCCCTGTACTTCGTAATCGGGTAAGCGTCCTTTTCCATTTTCCACCAACAGGGCCATTGTCGATCTTGGTTTGTCAAAGAATATCAAAAGAAATTGCTTGAATCTGAATGACACTACAGTTTCTCACGGAGTCGTGTCATAACATCGGACGGCAAAACAGTCGCGGTTTCATATTTTATTCGTCATGCGCATCTTCGCCATATTGGATGAAGTGGATTACCGGGACATTTAAAAAGTTAAATACAAAAGCAGAAATACAAATAAATTAAAAAAAAGTTCTATATAATAGTATAGAAATATTTCAAAAATATCTCAAAAATACTCCATTTAAGTTAAAATATGTTATAATTGCAAAATATTTTTCTACAACAGCTTTCTCATGAGAAAATAAAAGGTTTTATGAGAATTGTGATTATTTTGTACTATTGCAAAAATATTTTGCAAAATTTCTAAGATGTTTCAATTCCATTAGTGGAACATTTTTGAAATATCTCTGAAATGTTTTTCTGATATATTGGATATATTGGATTTCAGAAACTTTTCTATTATTAACTCGCGTGGTAAAAAGCGTTCAGAAGAAATTTAACGCAAGGTGTAACAAAATACGACATGCAATATTGGAAAGTAAATGACGTAATAGCAATCTTACGAATGTTAGTTAAAAAGAGTTTATCGAAGTTATAATTTCTCGATTTCTCTGATTTCATTCGTAGAAACAACTCATAGAATTCCGCAACTCCAATTTTCATTTATTTATCATTAAAATCAATTTCCCCGAACTTCATTCAAATTGTGCAATGTAAAATTAAATTTTAGTTTACAATAGATTACTTGCTGTTATGTGATTAAATATAATAAATAAATTCAATATAAAATTGAATTTTGTTTCAATATTATATAAAATTATAAAATGCAATACTTTTAAATTACGCTGGACTTTTAAATTAGCGCGATTCGATTGTCAAAACATTCCGTGTTGAAATCAATTTTTCTATTGCTCCTGTCGAGAATTTTTTGATCGCTTTAGATATAATCCGAATGGTCGTGAGAAAAATGATGAATTTTTCCGATCGAAGGTACAGATCCATGACAAATTTCTAACCAATCATGAGAAAAGGAGCGGGAGGGGATAAAGATTCGTTAAAAAAGTTGAAAACTTTCAATGACACGAAATCGAATCTCTTTTTATTTTTATTCGAAGCTCGTCGTCCAGCTCGATCGAAAGCATTTATTTCGTCGCATTTTTTTGCAGACCGAGTTTTTCTGGTTCGTGGCCAAAGTACTTGTAAAAAAAGTGCATTCGATGGCGATTGGGAAACCTTCTTGAGAACTGACGCGACACGTTCACCGGTCACGTCCGCTCCTGCCTGTGCGGAGGGGGGCTCGCTTTCTACACTTTTTGTCCTCCCTCTCCTTTCATCCTACGTCAATGGCGCACCCGTCTCGTTTGGAGTGCAAAAGAGGCTGTTGGCGCAACGCAACGCGAGGAACGGACCTTACGACGATAGATCGTTGAACTCGGAATGACTGCCGTGTTCAGGCGACGTTTTAACACTGCTGACACGTAGGCATTTCTCGTTTCCAGCGGCTGAATCATCGCATGCGAGCGTGATGAATACGGTACAAATATCGAAATGCGTGCGAAATAATATGCACGCCACGGATAAAAACGATTTTCTTTCAGGACTTGGGGAAAGGAAGAGGGGACGCAGGTATTTAGACTTCCCTCTGTATTCGAGTTAGTGCCAGCGAAATGTAAATAAAAGTATTCAGTATCCTCTAAGTAAAACGAGTCTGCTAAACAATGCGAAACAATTTGTATTTTTGATTCTGCTTGTTTAGTCTTTGATCGTATTTTTTGGAAAGATACAATTTTTTTTCGTTGGAAATTGAATTAATTGCATTCGGCATTTGGAATCTAAAACATCTATCTATTATATCCTAAAGGGCGACTAGAATTAATATCTGTTCATAATGAAATACTTCAAGTTTTTATTTAAAAAAATTGTTATTTATTTTATCGATATAATTGATAACTAATTCAATCGGTAGAATTATAATATATAATTTAAAATATATATTTTTAATCGCATAATTCATCGTTTTTTATTTTTATTCAAGATATATTAAAAAAAATAAATGATTTCATCCGTATTTAATAAAAAATGGTACAATTAATCACCAATCATTAAATTAATCGGAGCATAATTATCTACCGGCGAGGGCCCCTCCTTGTCGACGCTACTGAGCGTCGCAGCCGTTAATTTGACCAGCGTGGTGGCGACGACGGAAGTGACGCGCGCGTCGTTTCATTACGTTTACATTCTGTTCCCGACGTCGCATTGTGCGGAGCCATTACCCTCGTCCGCGCTAAAGCATCGTGCCATATTCCCACTCGCGCCCTGAAATTAACCGCGTTCTCGTAGTTTTAAGTGAAATATTATGAGAGTGAAGACCGAAATGGACGACGATGAAAAGGGGTGAGTAAATTCAAAGCCGGTCACGAATCGCATCGCGCCCCCTCACCGTTCTCGCGAGCGTATTCAGCGGGGCCATCATCGTTCCTCGCCGCTGCCGCCGCCGTCGTCACCACCACAGCCGTCGTCGTCATCGTCGTCATCGTCGTCGTCGTCGTCGTCGTCGTCGTCGTCGTCGCTGCCAATGCCGCATTTACGCGTCACAATCGGGAATGAATTTCCTTCTTTGAGCCGGATATTTCTGTTCTTGTTCTGTCCATGTATTCTCGATTTCGCCCCGCGACAGTGCTTTACTGTTGACGGGGAGAACTCCAAAGCCAGAACGGTTTTCTTTCAGTTTTTCGTGGCGATGGGAGAGAACGGCGACAACGATGACGACGATAACGGCAGTGACGATTCTTCGCTCCATCGCGAAACCCACCGGCGGTTCACCTGCCGCAGATTCGCGCCATTTGGCTTCGTCTTTTTCGATTCTAAAATCTTTCGTGAAAACCTAAGGCCCCCTCTTCTCCCCTCGCGTTATCCGCAGCCCGCGCATTCTTTTATAGCAGCATACGGGAGTAGTGCGCGAAAGCGGCCTCCGCGTTCGCGTCCTTAAACAACTGCTAGATTCCCTCTATTTTTACGCTCCAATTCCCTCCAATGTCCCGCTTCACGCCGGCTCGCCTGGAGGATTCTCGACAGCGTCTTTGCGGTCGAAAGTGTTGCGGATTACGAGCGCGACTCGCGAATAGGAATGATACAAATTGGAATGGCGTCTGGTGTATGTTTGAGTTTTTTGAAATGGCACGCACAGAAGGGGAATGGCGTTGTGTAGATATCAATTGATTTTGATATTCCTCTCCGCGCAGAGCATCGCCAGCTCACCAGACGGTTGCTGAACATATTTATGCTTTAAATGACTCAGCGCGTTTCATTTTTCTGAGAAAAGCCGGTATCTCTTGCTTTTCTTGAAATTATTCGAATGAATTGGAACGTGATCATTTAAGATCACTCTCGAACTGGGACTTTAGGACGCGATATATAAAATTACGCGTTAATTATATCTGCGCATTTATACCGCGTATCTTTTTTTTTTGCTTAGAATTATAGAAGAAAGATGATATACTCCAGATTTTGTATATAATAAGTTTGAAGCATCTACTTTTATATAATAAATAAAATTCTTTATAAAATATGTAATTATGTTTATTATGTGACGTAATATTAATTAGAGTATTAAAATTAATTAATATTCTTAAGAAGATGTAAACTGTATCAATGTATATTAATTATATATTAATATAATTTTTGAAAAATAGTTTGAAATAATTTTCTGATTTTTTCATTTAAAAATATTCTCTTATCAAATATCACTGCTAATAGAAACAAATCAAAAAATTCGAATGACTCGTACTTCAAAAACGTCACCAAGTACTTTTTCTGTATAGATAAGTCTTTAAGTAAATCCAAATATCAACAACGAACGACATATATTATTTATTTTCAGTCATATAAATATCACGCATAAAATAAATTCATATATTAATGACATTTTTTTTATTTTGTTCTAGAAAACTGTTTGTTGGAGGGTTATCATGGGAAACAACCCAAGAAAATCTCCAACGTTACTTTGGCCGTTATGGTGAAGTCATCGATTGCGTTGTTATGAAAAACAGCGAATCTGGACGCAGTCGTGGATTTGGATTTGTGACATTTAGTGATCCCGCTAATGTTTCTTTGGTTCTTCAAAATGGTCCTCACCAATTGGATGGACGTACAGTATGTATACTTATTGTATATAAGATAGCAATAAATTACAAAAAATTCTGTATATATATATATGGATATTTTTGCTCAAAATTTTTAATTCTTTAATCAAGCTTTTATAAACTGATATAAGGAATGTAAATACAAATTGAATTTAAACTGAAACCATATACTTATTTAATGACATTTTATATATAATTTTATATAAGAAATGAGATAATACAATATTAATTCTATATATATATATAAATAGAAGTATAAGAATTGAAATATAATTTGTTGATGTTTCATTACAGATTGATCCAAAACCATGCAATCCACGTACTCTTCAGAAGCCTAAACGTAGTGGTGGCTTCCCGAAAGTTTTTCTTGGTGGTTTGCCAAGTAATGTAACGGAAACCGACTTAAGATCCTATTTTACTCGCTTTGGAAAAGTTATGGAAGTTGTCATAATGTATGATCAGGAGAAGAAGAAATCGAGAGGTGAGTACGATTTTAATACATCATGATACACTCATGGACATGTAACATTTGATGATTTTCACGGAATTTTCATAGAATACTTTATTGGTATTGTATATTCTATTATTTTTTTATTTTCTATTAGAGAATTAAATTATGTTTTGCTCGTTTTAAATATCATATGTTTAAATATATGTTACACATTTCGAAAATTAATCGTGAAAATTATCGAATAATATATAAATAATAATAGATTTTAAACTATATTTTTCTGCTGTGATGATAATTAGTCAGAATTCTTGAAAAATATTTGTTTATTATATTATAGGATAGAAGAAATGTAAATAAAAAAGATATAAAAAAAGTTTTATCTGATTGATATTAAAAATGATTTTATAAAGATAAATGTTTAGATCAAAAATTCTGACTTGACTAATTATCGATATACAATAAAAA